GGTGTCTCCGCGTCCTGTGCCCGGCTTCACCCCGCGGGCGCCGCAGCGGTGTCCCGGCGCGGGGCTCATGGCTGTACCGGGAGCTCAGCTCCCCCTCCCACCGGCCCTGCCCACCCGAGCGGTCAGCCAGCGAGCAGGCAGCGCGGGGAGGAATCCTTTCTAATGGCGCATCTTCGGTCACGCTCGCTGGGGCTGCTGTCCTCAACAGCCATCCCATGCGGCTCCGTGCGTTTCAGTTAAGCAGCATCTCAAAATGAGCCCATTCTTTCCACTTTACTGAACCCGGCCGTCTGTAGCTAATAATTTTACAGTTTTCCTCACAGCTGAGCTGGAGGCGCTGTGAAGCGCTTAGAAAACTCGAGCGGCTTGCAGCTCCGCTTGTATTGATGGCCCTGAGGTAGTGGCACAAGTATCTCACAAACTTACTTGTCGAGACAAAACTTCTTAAGGAGAAGCAACATAAGCAAAAGCTTTTCCAGGGCGCGTACCATTTGCATTAGAAGAATGCTGCTTGAGCTGTGAACAAAGGGCAGGTAGTGGTTTGTTTTCCTGACCTAAGTGCAGCTATTGAAGTTCTGTCCCAGCAAAACTATAGACTGTTTTGTTGGGGTTTTTATATGTTGTTTTTACTCTTACATACTGTTTTGGGTCAAAGGTGCAGTCAGCTTTTGAATTTTTGTCTCAGATTTCTGCAGTGATCTTTACCTGTTAATTCACGACATTGCATGTAGAGAAAAAAAAAAAGTACTTTCTTTAGTTGGTAGAAAAAATCCGTGCCTAAAAGCAAAGGCAGATAGGGTAGAGATAGTAGAGCTATTTTTTTTTTTTATGTCCGTTCGTAGTAGTTGGGCTTGTAGGCATGCAAAGGATGGGATTCTCAAGCTCTTGTGGAACTTTGTTCATGCTGAATTATTAGATGTCTTGGATGGGGAAAGCCTGTGACCTTTAAAAAATTTGTGCCAAAGTTATCTTTAGTCACATTTATTTTTGACAATGCTGTACAGAGGCAAATCTTACTAGCTTGCCCAATACTGTTAAAAAAGCTATTATGATATTTAGATTTAGCGGTGTCTGATCACACAAACCATGTGAGGGATGGCATTCAAAGCAGTTAAAACTTTGCATCTATAAGGTCCTGCAAGAAAGTGCTAACAAGTTGCACTCAATTATAACTCGGGATGTTCTTGGGAATCTGACCACTCTGTTGCATCCATGGGAGCTGCTGAACAGTCAGATCAGTTTTCAGATGAAGTTACAACCACGACTCTATGTGAAAACTATAATGTGTTAAGTGGTGGAAAAGTTACCTTCTCCTCATAACTAAAGTGTGGCTGGCTTGGTTTTATACTCAGTGCAGCACAGAAGATCAAAGCTTTTCGGATAGAGCTTTATAAATTCTGTGACAAGGCTCAAGAGGGTCTTAAATATTTCTAAGCTATGAGTGTGGCTATGTTTAAAGCTAAAGAAGTTGTAAACTCTGTGGGCCTTGTGAAAATACCTTCCCCCGTGCCATGAGCATTTTGAGTTTCAGTCCAGTGTTACATGCCTGGTATAGTATGAATTGGCATGTGCCGGCCGAGCCCAGATGAGAACGTAGCAGCTGTCATGGTGCCTTATAACCATAAGAGTTCCAAATTTCAGCAGCATGACACTCGGGTGGTGCTAAACTTGCTGTCAGACTTCATTTCCAAAACTGCCTGGTGCATCGAGAAGACCCTCAGGGGAAGTCTTTGCTGTACCACTTGTACCACTGGCATCAGTAGAAACTCTGAAAGTGGGGAGAAGATCCCAGTGCCTTTGTCCAAGGACGATTTGTGGGGAAGTTTCTTCAGCGCAGTGCAAAATTATTCATTGAGAATTTTCTAACCTATGATGAATCTTTCTGTAATTTGCATTTTGCATATATGATTAAGCAGCATTGGCCAAAAGCCTGGTGACAGCACAGGGCTCTGGAATGTCTCCCTGTTGCCTGGGCAGTTTATTCATGTTAGCTTACTTTTGTGAGCATAATCGCTCCTTTTAAAGTCCTCCTGAACTTAGGAGTGCCGCTGCTATTGAGCAAGCTGAAATTATACACGCTGCAGAGAGAAAGGTGGGTATGTTGCAACTTAGCCTGTCTTTCAGAGGAATTTAAAAGATTTTGCCCTAGCCCTAATTTCTACATTAAAGAGATTGAAAATTGTCACTACGTGCCTTCTTCAACAGGGAAGAAGCACCTTGCTGGAAAACGTGTTATTAACTCCGTGATGTCTTCGGCCTGTTATGCCTAAAGAGCAATAGCATTTGGAGGAGGCTTGCTGACAAAGCGCAGTCTTCAGTCGCAGTTGCTTATGCTCTGAATGGGAAGTAGTGATCAAAAGGTGTTCCCTTTCCTCTCCAAACACTTAAACTGTGTTTTAGTCACAGTAAGGAACCTGGGTGATGTCACCTAGTTTATTAACAGAGTTGCTCAAACAAAAAGGCAGCACTTGTTCTTGTCCTCGAGACAGGGCTGCCACCGAAGAGCAGAAGGTTTCAGTGCCTCAGGCCCCTGAGAAAGGAGGTAAGATCCTTTACTTTGCATCCATGTTTCTTTTGTCGCATAAGAGTTACGGGCTAAGAACAAGTTTCTTGCAGTCTAACAAGCTCCATCAGAAATTGGTGTCGGCTGGGTCTGCAGGACCCTCTGCTGGCTAAGGGACAGATACTGAGCTTGAACAGAGATATCGACTGCTGGCAAAACAACCCCAAGGCCAGCGCAAATGTCTCATGAGAAATCTGACGTCGGCGAGTGGAAATTTGTACTACTTCTTCTGTAATAGAAGACAAGAAGGGAAGAGGAAAAACCCAACACGTTGTTTTAAGAGTAAAAGGCTCAGGATTATTTTAGACAGGAAAAATCCTGCCTTAATAACTTTTTTTCCAACTCTGAAAAAAAAAAAAGAAAAGGCCGATAAAACTTTTCAGTGCTCAGTTGTCTCTGTGAAATCTGTGCTTACAAGGAAAAGGCTAAGGACCTTTTTAAGAATGAAGGTGCTTTGCCTGATTTTTGCAAGGAATGTCTAAGCTTTGGGTGTTTCTTTAATAAAAATAATTCCTTATCTTTTTATGGAATATCTAAACTCAGGGTGTTACCTTAATAAAAATAACTCCAAACTCCAAGATTAACAGAATT